GTGTGTGTGTGTGTGTGTGTGTGTGTGTGTGCATATGGGTATATGTACATACATCTGTTTAAGTTTGGTTGCTGGGTGTTTGTTCTCTTCATTTGCTGATGGTCAGATGTCGGGTGTGCTGTCCTGTATGTTATTGGTGTTCATTTCACATGTTGTATAATTTTTATCGGTTTCTCTCTTTTCAGTTCTTGTATTTCTCTTCTACTTTTTCCTTTTCTTCTTTACTATAGTGTAAAAAAAAGCCACTGATGATGCAGAAATTAAGAAACGAACATTCAGTTTTGTTTTCTACTGAAGTGGCTAAAGAAAAAAAGAAAAAACAGAAACTGTGCCTTTACCACAGAAGCCCTCAAAAATTTCAGTTTTATCTCTTATCTTATTTGTTATTTCTACCAGTCCAGGTTTTTTGAGCGATAACCGAACTTAGCTGTACTGACGTAGAGCACAATATGTTAAACATGGGACGGACGTCTGCCTCATATTCTTTTCAAAACCTAGCCACAACACAAAATGTGTCTGACCCAGTTCTGGCTCATACAATGCATTATACACTGTAATAACAGACCAGATACAGCAAACAATGCCAGAGGTGATCCATGAATGAGCCAGCACCGCAAAAACAACAACTGAGCCTGACATGCCATCTTAAAACAGTGCCATCATTCTGAGACCTGGGCTTGTCTAGTTGACAAACTACTTTCCCYTCCAGCTGTCAGCCGCAGTGGCGCCTGCAGGTGTACGGCTGTACACCGAGCCCACACCTGTCTGCTATGTGGGTAAGTTTAGTGATTCACAATTTTTTTAATTAAATACAAAGTGTTTGTGTGTCATGATCACTTTTCACTTAGAAATAAATCTGCATTTTGTTGGTTGCACAAACCATATCATGTTATTATATGTTATTACATATTATCATGTTATTACTTCATATAATATTGAGCCACAGGACCGCCCTATTTTTCACATGTTGACCATTGTGGTTCTGTTAACTGCCTCACTTTGTGGCACAAAGACAGCGGTGAGCTGCTTTTGCCTCTTGCAAAGAGTTGCGTTTTTTTTTATTACAAACAAGAATCTAAATAAATTCCAGGTTGTAGAGCAACATAACAAAAACATTATGTGAAGGTGAATACTTTGGCTGTTGATACAGCAGTGCACTGTACACATAAGAAAAGATCTATAGAAATTTAGACTTTTGTCTTAATTTTGTGAAAGGTTTTGTAAAGTAATAGTTTTGCTTCTACGCCCTCTTTTCAGGTTTCCTCTGCCCTCTGGTCTTTCTGCCTACTTATTGTAAACTGATCTTATGTGTGTAATTAATATTTGAGCAATACATTTTTATATGTGGTTAACACAAGTCTTTTTGTCCTTTATGACTTTGGAAAAWAATGTGTTTGGAGCAGCGATCTATCATGAAAAGCCAATCATTATATTTCTAACATAACGCTACATAAAAATAAATCATGTTTTATTTGTCATCTCAAATACTGTATTACCAAATGATTTGATTCATATCTTTAAAAACATATCTTTGGGTGTCTGGAGTTATCAGTTTAGTTTTAGCTTTGACTAAGTGCATTTTATAGTTGACAAACCTAAATATTTAAAGGGCCAATATTATGTGTTTCTCAGGCATATATTTAAATACTATACCATAATAAAGTATCTATGTCACCTTTAGTTGTTATTAAAATGCTGTTTTATGTTTAAATAGAAAATAAACATCTTCTCATCACGTCCTCTTCTAAACGCCTTGAAATTGGCCTCTGTGAGAACCACCTTCCGCCTCTGTCCCGCCCATTTTAGTGCGTGCGGGGGGGGGGGGGGGGGGGGGGGG